ACTTAAATCCTTATTTTTGGCTTTGCTTTTGGGGGCTATCCATACTAAGGTTAGAGTTTGGGACAGTTGGATTAGTCCCCTCAGGGGTTCTTAGAGCACTAATAGTGAGGGTAGGGGGTCTGATAGCATAGCCTGATAAAATTTATTATTTATGGTGCCAGATGCCATTCTTAAACACTTTACAAGCATAAATTCTGCATTAAATCTGCATAACCACCCTATTGGATAGGTATAATTATCCTTATTCTACAGGCGAAGAAATTCAGGCACAGGGAAGTCATTTGTCAAAGGGCACCCAACTACCCAAGGCTGTCTGTCTAGTTGCAGGGTGTTGTTCCTAACCACTATAGTAGTATGTCTCTCCTCTGCCTGTGCTGTTCCACCAGGAGGAGCTGAGCACCGCCAAGGTTGGGCTCTTCCTGAAAATCTGTTGCAGTGGTCCACTGCAGAGCATGTGGCCACCCACCTGAGAAGGCCACCCACCCTCCACAAGGACCCTCCGCAAAGTCCATCAAGCCCCTGGAGAAATTTGTTTTCCAATAGGGAGCTCGGCAGGAAGCCAAGGTGAGATTGCTGTGTCTAAAAGGGACAGCCAACCAGCTACAGAGGTATATGCCACCACATAAATGGTTGGCAAATAAGGGCCTTCACATTAATTTTATTAATATTATTTTTACAATGCAATAGGACAAGGCACAGACTTATTTTGCTTGGGGAGAGGTTTTCACCTCAGTGTAATTTGAGCCAAGCCTTCCTGCTCATTTTCTATTCAGCAACAAATTTACAAACCATCTTGTTGGCTAGGCCACTACATTGTGTTTATATTCTTTATTTTCAGAAGATCCTTTTCTTACTTTATGTCCACTTTCTTGGTATCTTAGTGTTTTACAAATGACTTCCTCAAATTTTAAGATTGACGTGTTAAAACTCTGTAGTAAAACCATTTAAATTTCCTAAGAAGCCACAAGATTCTTTACCATGGATTTATTCAAGCTAATTATTTACATGTGAACCTACTGAAATGGGATGGTTTAAATAATTTAGGAGGAATTTTTAATACTCTGTATGCTCAGAATTTTAATGCATGGATATTTATTAAAAATCAAAGAAGACAAATTTATAGAGATCATATGAGTTCACTTCTATTGTTTTATATATATTAAGAAAAAATTCTTATTTTTGCCTCATGACAAAGGCTGTGATGGTGGAGAGAGAAAAATAGAGAGCTGGACATTATGTAATGAATTTGATTATGATATAAGTTACTGATTTTTCTACATGACTTGTGAATTTTTAAACATTGCACAAGCAATGCACAAATCACCTTAAACTTTTACAAATTCGGAAGAGTATGAAAAAGTCAAAGCTACTTTTTAACTCTTGGCTTACTAAGAGATTTTTTAAAATCATGAATAGGTATTAAATTTTACCAAATACTATTTTGATATCTACTGAAATATCAAGGATTTTGTTAATGTTTCAATACAATAAATTACATCGAAAGATTTCTAATATTGAGTGAATCTTGTTTACCTGGAATAAACCCTACTAGGTCATGATGTATTATTCTTTTAATATGTTGTTAGATTTGATTTGTTAATATACTTAGAACCTTGGCTTGCATTGAAGAATTTGCACTCAAAAGGCTAATCAGCTCTTTGTTCTGTTTCTGTACATATGCTTGCTGCATAGGCCTTACTCAAAATTAACTAAAGACTCATCTTTCCTTTTGCTTGTTCTAAGCAACAAATTTAACTGCCTGTACCCCATAGCAACTCCCGAGGTTTGTTAACTGTCTGAGGACAAATTAACCAATCAGCCCATGCCAAATAAGCTCTATATAAACAAAGTTGCAACTGAGTTCCGGGCCCAGCTCTTCAGAGTGCTAGCTCTTCTGAGACCGCAGGCATAACAAACCTGAGTTCTCCAACTCTCCCAGTGCTGTTTGGTTTCTCGGGTCTGATTTTTGCAACATTTCTGCAACAGCATGTTTATAAGTAAATTGGCCTTGAGTTCCCTTTCCTTTCCTTCTTTCCTTGTCTTTTTTTCTTTCTTCCCCCCTCTCCCTCTCTTCCTTTGTATTACACAGGCTTGTCCAGTTTTAATGTTATAGTTTTCTTAAAAGAAAAAAAAAAGTTTGAAAACTTTATGTCATTTCCTGTCTTCTGGAACTCATCAGAATGAAAATACCCAAAATGAAAAAGTTCATTTGGATTTCAAATCCATTTGATTACATTGCATTTCTCAATTAAAGAAATATTGGCACATTTAAATATAATTTTAATTGTAAGCTTTGAAATGGTTTATCTTTTTTATCACCTATTTGAGTTTACAAAGTCTCTTGTCAATGTTGACTACCAAGAATTTGAAGAGAGATCATTAATAAACTTTGGTCAGGGATTGTGTGAACCATTTTGATAATGAAACCTCACATAAAAAGTTGCATTCACAGAAACAAGATCAAGTTTCTTAAGAAATAAATTTCAAAATAATGTATTTGGATGTTTAAATCAAAGTTAATACTTCCTCTCTGGAAAATATGTTGTCTTTCATTCTTCTCATTATAAAATACAATACATAGCAGAGGTCCCCACCCTCTGGTCTGTGGACCAGTACCAGTCCATGGCCTGTTAGGAATGGGGCTGCACAGCAGTTGAGCCAGTGAAGCTTCATCTCTATTTGCAGCTGCTCCCCAGCGCTAGCATCACCGCCTCAGCTCCACCTCAGATCATCAGGCATTGGATTCTCATAGGAGCATCAGTACCTGGTGCCAAAAAGGTGAGGACTGCTGATATATAGAAGTGAGATGAATTTTTCCCCAGGACCCATATAGACAGTCTGAAATCCCTTCCAGCTTTCCCTTTCCAATATTTTGTGTGTGTGTCATAGATGTTTAGGATTGGGAATCACTGAGTTAGAGATGTGGTTTAAAATCTTGCAGACTATTATCCAGCTAGAAAAAAGAATGAAGCTACCATGAGTACCTGGGGATTCATGTATGAACACGGAAACATTGTTCTATAAGATAACATTATTTAGGCGTAGAAAGTTAAGGCACAGTGTCTGTTACCATTTGTGCAAAAAAAAAAAAAAAAAAGGACCAAAATATATTGATATCTATATATTTGCCTGTACATGAAAAGACATTTCTGGAAGGCTATCATGAATCTTGGGAGGGGACCTGAGTGGCTAGGTAAGGGGACAGGGACGCTCTGTGGGCATAGGGGTGGGTGGGAGGCAAGAGGCTTTGATCTTTTTATTTTTCTTAATTTTTAAAGCCTACAGCACCCAGTATTCCTAGGTGGTCTCCCATCCAAGTACTAACCAGGCCCCACCTTGCTTAGCTTCAGAGATGAGACCGGGCGTGTTCAGGGTGGCATGGCCGTAGACGGCTTTGGTCTTGAACTAAGGAGAATGATGATCCAGAGCCCATGGCAAGCTCTGAATCCAGTATCCGAGGGCTGGAAGTGCAGACGACCTTCTGGTGTGCAGGGAGGATGGAGGACAGCGGGAAAGCTGGCCAGGTGGGAGACAGGTCATGGATCCTGAGCGAGGGCACCTTGGCGTGGGAGTGGCTTTCAGGTTGCATACCTCGGCCACCAGGGGGCAGTCAAGCTCGCTCCTGAAAGCGGACCGACAGGTCCCATCTGGCCTGCCCCCAGCTGGAGCGCAGCCCCTGCAGTCCTTGCTCTTTCCCCGACCCCACCCCACCTTCAGACACAGCCATGTGGAACTTCGTGAGGAGAACCTTCTCCCTCTTGCTGGGTAACTTGTCTCATGGCGGGGTGGTCGCTGCAGGAACCCCCCTCACCCAACATCCAGTACTCTTCCAAGCTCCACTGGGTTATCTCATTCAGTGTTGACCACCATCACTTGAGATGGGTACTGCCATCATATCTGTTTTATAGAAGGGACAGGTAGGGTATAGGTTGATGACTTGCCCAAAGACCAGGAATGGCAGCCCAGGATACACACTCTCTGAACTGGAGCATTAAGCAAACCATGGCTTCTTTTCCCACTCTGCTCCGCTCCAGAACTTTCTTCACACAGCAGCCAGAGGGCGCTTTAGGGAGGGCAGATCCTCCCTGACTTACAATCTTCCTCTGCCTCTGGCTGCTCTCAGGGTCAAGTTCAGTCCCCTCACCCCATCTCTCTGGCATCACTGTGACTCAAAGCCCCTTCAACTCTAGATACATCAACTTTTTTTCAGCCTGAAGAAAACTCATGTTCATCCTGTGTATTTGCTTCTTCTTCACCAGGACCACTCTTCTTGCTTCCCCACTTCTTTTAGTTAACTCTTATACATCCTTCAGGCCCTGGCTCTGAGGTCACCCCTTCCAAGGAGCCCTCCCTGACTCCTATTAAATGCTGTTGGAACATCCACAATGAGCCTGTTGGGTAGCACTGGCCTCAGACATGTGCTTCATTTTATAACTAATGGCATCATCATTCCAGAAACCTGAGTCACTCTTGACTCCTCTCACTCTCTAGAGCTGTCTCTAATCCATCAGCTAATCTTGTGGAATCTACCCTTAAAATGTTATCTCAAGTCTGACCTTTCTTATCTTTCCCCATTAGGTCCTTCAAGTCTTGCCATGCTTCTCATGGTCATCCTGTTTCCACTTTTGCCCTGCACCACCTATCCTTGTATTTATCTGTCTCCCTGAAGAGAATGGGAGCTCCATAAAGGCAAAGGCTTTGTTCACTGTAGAATCCCCAGTGTCTTGGAATATGCTGTCTGTTTCTTCCACTAGAATGTCCGCTCCTGAGGGCAGAACTCTGTCCTATTCATACACAGCCCCAGTGCCCAGCACACGGCAAGTACTCAGTAAAAACCCTGTCAATAAACAGATGCAGAAACTCAAGCCCAGAGGGAAGAAGGAACTTGTCCAAGGCCCTTCCCTGGGGGCAGGAGAGCCAGCACCAGTACCCCACTCTCCCACAGCCTGTCAGCCAAGCAACCCCTTCTTACTTATCTCAGCACACAAGAACCCAGACCCTTTTTGTTCACTGAATCAACACAGTTTATTACTGAACTGCACTTTCACCTTCACACAGACTATTTCAAAGAGCTGGAACAAGTGTGGGGTGGGGGGTGGGAGAGGGACAGGTGCCCCTCAGGAGCCAGGACCCCCAGCTGGCTTCCCCAGACCAGGAAAGGGGAGGGAGCATCAGGCTGTTCAATCTCTGGGCACCAGCTCTCCACGTGCACACGCACAGCAAGCCAGCAGCTCCTCACACATAAATACAGACACGCTTAACAAAAATAGTATATCATCTTCACAAGGAATAAAAACTAGTCTTGAATATGTACAGCAGAGAGCCCGGGGTGGCCAGAGCTAGGCCAGGACCCCCAGGGATGAGACAGGCCATAAATGGAGCAGAGGAGAAAGTGAAGCCTGAAAGGTTCCTGGCCAGGCCACTCAGACCTGGAAGCCTGGCTGCCCAGGCTGAACAGGGGGTGGGGCACGATCTGCTAGGCCAAGCAGGACTGGCCTTTCTAGCCAGCCCTACCTCCACCCCGTGCACCAGGGCTCTCCGTCTTGCCCTTCCTGCCTGAGGTAGGGAAGACCCTAGGGCTCCCATAGCTGCTCCCTGTAGCTCCCCTTTGCCTCTGGGCCAAGGCCCCTGAATCCCTGGATCCCATGAGCAGCAGCCCAAGGCATGCCACAGGCTGATCTCCTTGCAGGAAGTGAGGCAGCTGAGGCCATAAACAGCTCTGGGGCACCTGTCTTGGGCCCAGTTGGTCCCTCAGTCACGATCATGGGAGGGAGCCAGGGGAAGGGAAGAAGGGAACTGGGGTAGTGCTAAACTACAAGGGCCACCCTAGCTTTGGCATGGGGTACTTCCTGCAGCTATAGCCCCCTCCCTCCTGGCTGGGGCTGGCTTCTAGCCAGAGGCCTCTGGATGACAATGAAATTGGGGGCAGGGACTTTGGCCAGGCCAGAGGTGGGAGGGGACCCTGGTCCTTGTTTCTTTATCTCGAGCAGCCTGAATCTCTAATTAGTCACAAGTGGCCCCTAAGTGGCTATTGGAAGGTGGGGATGAAAGGAAGGGGAGCCCAGGTCCTTGAGGGGGCGGGGGCGGGAATAAGAAATGATTAATTCTGAGGCCACAAACATCAAAACGAAGGCAATCTAGTCTTTCTGGGAAAAAGGGTCAGAAAACTTTCCGGCTCCCTGGCAGGAAAGCATTCTTGGGGCGGTTAAAGGGTAAGGGGGTTCCACCAAACAGGCAGGACGCCTCAGCCCCCAGCCACAACCCTGCCCCCCCTCCACCCCAAACCTGCCAGCCTCCATGGGGCAGATTTTTGGAGAAATTTGTGGGTTCTGAGGCCAGGAGAACTGAGGTGTGAGGGAAGGTGGCTCTCACAGAAGCATGGTAGATTCTAGAAAACTAACTGCGGGGGACCAAGTCTAGGCCCAACCCTGTGATGGGTGGTTGGACACAGGCTGCATGTAGTGGTTCTCCTGGTGGCAATGGTGGCTGGAAAGAGGGATGCGGTGGGTGCAGGACGGGGATGGGACGGTGAGTGGGTGGTCAGTGTCTGGTCATTTCCGACTGAAAAGTGAGCCCAGCAGAACCACGCCAGCCACAGTCACTCCTGTCAGAAGCCAGCGGTTGAAGCGCTCCTGACCCTTCCGGCTCTCGGCCGCTGCATTGTTCCCGTAGAGTTCCACGAAAGTGTCCTGCAGACAGAGAGAAGGAAAAGTGCTGTTTGAGTTCTTAAACAGTAGCATAGGTGGGTGGGATAAAGGGGGGCCATCTGAATACAGTGGCCTTGAGTGATCTGAAAAACTGTAGCTATCCCTGCCTACTCTGGCCAGATAAAGGGTTGAGGGCTGCCCTCCTTCCTGATCTCCAGATGGGGATGACCAACCCATTTTATTGTTGAGAAAACAGGTACAAAGTAAGGAAAGAGCTTTGTCCAAGGTCAGACGGCTAAGCAGCACTATTCCAGAACCTGAGGTGAGAAAGAGATGGGCAGGGTCAAGGAATGATGGGAGGCAAAATGGCTGGAGCAGAGAGCAGAAGAGGAAGGGTTAGGAGAGATGAGGGTGCAGGGGTGAGCGAGAGCTGGACTATGTGTGGTCTGGAAGCCACAGAGGAGCTTGGAGTAGAGTCCAAGTGTAATGTGGAACCACTAGGCCTTAGACTTTCCACTGCTGTGATGGAGGGAGGGAGAGAAAAGGGACAGGGTAAATTTCCAGAGTGATTCAGAGGCAGAGCAGGTCTGGGGACTTTTGGCTAGGGACTCCTTCTTCCTCTGGAGGGTGCCTCAGCCCAGGGCAGGCTGATGGGTGGGCAGGGCAGAGTAGAGAAAGTAACAACCATGCAGGACTGGGATGGATCTGAGAGGTCCTGTCCCTGTCCCCCACCCCAGGGGGTGTGACTCTGGGCCCAGGAGGTGAGCAACAGTCTTCTGCTTCAAGCTAGTCAGGAGGTAAGCACATGATCTGGGTAGGGAGGGGCTTCGGGTTAAATTACCCAGCCCAGGGCGGAGCCAGCCTGTGGGGCAGGGAGTAGGATGACTTTAAAGATGACTTTTCCCACCCCATCTGTCCTTTAATCCTCCCAACAATGCTGCAAAGCAGGCTGTCTCTTCCTATTTACAGACCAGGAAGCTGGGCCTCTGAGGACAGAAGGACTCGATCATGTCTCTCAGCTTTGTCAGTGGTGGAACCAGAATGTAAGCCTGGTGTCTGGCACCTAGAAATCAGTGTCCTCTGTGCGTGTAGAAAATTGGCTGGTTCCAGAGCCTGTGTTTTTGCCTCTCCACCAAGAGCTCACACTCTGGGCTCACATTTCTACCTGATCCCAACTTGCACATATTTGGTGGTCAATACATGAGTAGAACAAAGGTACTGCATGTCTACTAATTGCCAGGCACTGTTATCTCATTTCACCTTCAAGAGAATCCCCAGACTAGAGATTTGAACCTCATTTCATAGATGAGACAACTGAGATTTACAGTAGGGCAAAGCCAGGATCAGAACCCAGGACTGCTCGGCTCCAAAGAGAGTGCTGCTACACGGCGACATTCCTTTTGTGGGGGGCTGGGGAGGACTTGTCCTAGCTAACACTGAATATCCTGGATAAAGGGATGTGCGGATGGGGTGGAGGTAGGGCCTTGGGTCTGGGGAGAGAAGGGCAGGGGCAGTGGCAGCAGCCAGTCTCCTAACTCTTGGCCTTGTTGCTGCTCAGGCCTGGCTAGTGTGGAAATGCTTCCCCGTCTCTCCCCTCTTCCTCCTGGCTAGCCTCCATGGGTGTTGGCAGACAAGATAATTCTTACAGGAGTTTTAATTTTTCTGATCCCAAGAGAAGTAGGTCCAGGTGGAGTCAAAAAAGATGGGTCTGTGATGCAGGAGAGTCCTGGGCTGTGGGGAACGAACATGGGAGAAGTGAGGCTATCCATGGCCAGGAGGCCGTGGTTATCCCAAGGGGCCAAATGTCCCACAAGAAACCAGGGACAATGGGGTTGTAGCCAAAGTAGGAGAGGCCTGGCTCCCTTGATGGGAACTTAGCTGAAGTAGAGGGTTGGCAGTCACAGGAAATTTTCAGCTCTAGGGCCGAGTTGGAGTAAACAGGCCCTGTCCCTGCAAGGGCACAAAGCACTCACTGTCCAGGAACAGTCATTCCAGGGTGGAGGGAACATTCTCATTTTGGTGCCACAGAGAATGAGGCTCTGACCTGCCCAGCCCCCATGCGTGCATTCCTGGCCAGGACAACCTTTGTCTCCACTTCAATGAGATCCTTCTCCTGGGAAGGAGGGAGGAGGATTTCCAAGGGCTCTGGATTCTGGGGATTGCTTTTGCAGAGAGCATGAGCAAAATGGGGCGTGCTGTTCCAGGGCGGGTGCCCGAGAGGCAGTGGTGTGGGTATATTTAGCCCGCAGTTCACACAACACACTTGGAAACAAACACAGCCATTTTCTCAGCGGGCGGCTGCTTTGGATAAATAAACAGGATTGCAAAGCAGCCCGGTCTGGAAAAGCAGAGAGATAA